CCTTTGGAAGAATGAGTCACATATGTACACATTATATGAATTTGGTTATATGTTATGAACCAAAAAGGAAACAGCACCACGAGGGTCCATTTTTATTTCGAGATTAGACAACGATAACAAACATTAATCACCGATACTCGCTTTACTGTTTGATAAATTATTCTCTCTCGAAGCACTTTTGCCACGCTGATTCTGGTCTATCCAAAACATGCGATCTGAACACATCAACCGCCCCTTGAGGTGTCGCGAAACGTTGACCTCTCAATTTGTTATTTACGATTTGGTATTAAAAGAATTCACTCGGTGCCAAGTCAAGAACATTCGGTGGAGGACTCATTAAAACGATGTTTTGAGCGCTCAAAAATGCAGTGTGAGAGATCCCATTGTCGTGGCGAAGAGTTTTCCTGATTTCTTGAAAGACAACTAGCAAACAAATGGTTGTACGATTACATCACTCAGTATTTATTGTTCTGCGTTATTCAAGTGGCACGGTTGCGACATATAGACGACTGCTTGTTACTTTCGGGCTCATACCTTATCCTGTTCTCGAGCGATTGACAAATGTGTGAGATCTGGCTTGAGTAAATTCTTGAATAATCATGAAATATTGAATACATATTGATCCCACTAATGCCTGTTAGTTTTCTCAATCTTGCGTACAGTATAAATAGTTTCCGGAACAATAAATGATTTTGGACCACCTTTACGAAATTCGCCTTGGGTGATCTACGACCTCGATTGAATTCACCATACCCTCAGCAAGCACTGGTCCTTAACGGAGCTTCACTCTTCTAAAGAAATAAACATTACTTTTCTATGGTTGCGGTGAAAGCGAGGTACTGCCTTTATAATACGATGTAAACATATGTACTACGAGTACATACACACATTTATCCCTAGAAATATGAAGCATATTTCGAAGAGGGCTTGTCCCCTTGGCCTTTAACGTTCCTACCTTAAACCCAGCGTCCTTTACAGTTTGATCAGATTGACGTGATTTAGTGTTTCCCTCTGGGCATGGAAGTCCTTTGAGAAAAAAACCGACATGTTGTGGAGAAGAGCTTAAATAATTTCATTGCATCAATAGGATTTCAGTGTAGTCAGCAGGCGGATTAACTCCTTATGAGGAGACCCTTTTCCTTATGCCAATTTCTTTCCTTAGATTAAATCTTGTTCAAAGCTTACGAATTGCAGCAATTCAAAGAACTAAAATCTCACTGCAAGTGTCCCAACACAGAAAAAAGCACATTTTGAAAGGAAAATTTAAAAGAAAAAAATTATGGCAAATATCATGAATAATGTGGCGCAGTGTTTTCTACACAAAAGCATTTGAGTGACAAAAATTTGTGTCAACTCAAATGGAGGCAAAAAGCTGCCAGGCAGGACACTTGGCGTTGCCGCCATTGCAGCTGTTGCTTGCTGCATTGACATAATATAACGGTTGCAGTCGGAAAAGTGCATTAGAAAACAAAAGTAAAAAATATGGCAAAACGGTGAAGAAATAAAAATTTTAATGCGCTACATGACGATAATAAATACGTCGAGCTTGCGAAATTGGCATAAGCCTTGTGCAACATGCCACCAGCAACGGCAGCAGCAACAAGCAGCACAGCACTAACAGCGTCAACTGCAATGAAGGTTCGATGATGTAATGTGTTTATGAACAATTTTTATTTTAATGCCGAAAAATGGGAAAAAATTAACAACGACAACATGCGAAGTGGCAATGAAAGCAACGCAGTTGTGTATGTGTATGTAGCGGTGCAAAAAACATTGCTGGCTGCGTGGCAGCGTAAAAATGTCCGTGGCTTTGTTTGACTTTTTGTTGGGTTTCGGTGCAACAAGCAACAAGCAACGCGTGCGCGCAAACAACATTTTTAGTATGACAAAGCGTAAAATTGTAGCAGCAGGAAAAATAAAGGAAAAAACAGGTAAAAATCGAAATACATGAGCAGTTAAAATTAAAATGAAAAAAAAAAATTCGAAAAAAGATTTTTAAAAATTTCAACGCTTGTAAAATAACGGAAAATGCAATTAGAAAAAATTGCCGCCAACACAGTTACAGCCGGCAGCAGAAGAGCTATTGCGAATGCTCCTGTTACAGGCTTAATTGTTTTTTTATTACTGTTGTTGTTGTTGCAGCTGTGTTTGCCTGTTGTGGTTGTTGTCTGTTGCCTACGCTTTCTGAGCGGCTGAACGCTGAAGTGAAAGTGTTTAACTGACATTTTTACTTTTCCTTGCGACGAATTGTTGCAATTTAGCGCCTACTTGTCGTTCTTGTTTTTATTGTTGCTATTGTTGTGGCCCACTACCAATGTCTTATCAACCATTGCACTGGCTTTGCGTTGCATTACTCAAACGCTGGTTGTTCTCCTCTTGCTGCTCCTGCCAGTTGCCGGGCTCTGGGCGGACACATGTCGCCGCTCCATCAAAGCAAAGCGCATAAATATGCAACATTGTAGTTTTTTGTTGTGACCGAAACGCCAGCGGCCGTAACAACATATCATAAATATGTAATAACACATACACTGACTGTGTGGCAAGTATGCGATATACATGCCGTGCGGCCAACGCGCTTGGTTTTGTTTAAACACTTTCATGAAAAGAGACAACAGCAACAACATCACCAAAATGCGAGCAATGTAAATTGTAATGCTGTGCAGTTTATGTTGCATGTACTTGTTTATGTTGCAAGTATGCTTGTTCCCCTTTGCCGTTAACATAAGATCGTCGAAAATTGGCAAATTAGGCAGTGGCAGCAGCAGCAAAGGCAGTAACAGCATATCCGTACATAAATTTTGGGAATTTGATCAAAATATGCAAATCAACATGTTGCTGCTGCGGCTGCCACTACCACCGCTGCCGGCAAAAACAATCAGAGCAATGCTCCATGTTGCAGCAACTGAATGTGTCTGCTTCGGAAATGCATATTTATGAAATGTTTACTATTACACGTACATATGTATGTACCTACGTACGAGTATGTAAATGTTTTGAAATTTAAAATTTGGATAGCAGTTTTAGGGGGTGGGTGGTGTGCGGCAGGCGGTGGTGATTCAATCAAGTATTATTTGCTTAATCTTGATACAAATTTGTCTTACTGGCGAGGATCAATTGAGAATATGTTGGCTGAAATCTTCAGACTCAGTTTAAGCTCCTATAATGCTAGGCAAAAGCTTTCTGTTTTCCAAATTGCAAATCGAACCCAATATATCAGCCCCTGGTCCACCTCCAGAAAGAAAAGTTCTCCACGTATTAACTCTGGCAAGGAGCCACCTATGTATATGTATATGTTCCGCATATTAAGCGAAACCGATCTTAGACCTAATTCACGGAAAAAAGGTATTCCCGATGTTAAATTAAGCAAAGAGCCACCTCTATACCAAAATTCAGGCAAATCAAGTGGTTTCCAGGTTCGCAGCTTGTAAAATTCTATCTTATCAAATACCTGCGTTATCTACAGAACACACTCTCCAAGTACCAGGCCACTAAGATCAGTATTGTAGGCTGTCAGCGTTTTAAGGACAAAACCTTACAAATTATGTATATAGATAAGACTCCAATCATCTCTCTACGTCTTCGAAGTGTAGGCCAATCAAAAAGCTGTCAGAGGTCCATCTTTCGATAAAAGCTAAAGAGCTCTTCGTCCGATTAACACAAGAATTTATAGAATTCCGCATGTATAGAGACACATCTAAGTCTACGAAGTTAGTGACCTTCGTATCACCAACTTCCTTTAACAAGTGAAATTATGTATAAGTTAAGCAAACAACAACAAATATGTGTTCGTGAAAAACAGTTGAATCGAACAGTAGTTAATTGCTTTTTGAGCATCAATAACAGTTCATTAATATCCTATTTAAACGGTTATTAGCAGTAAAAATCTGCGTGTTGCTCGCACACTTCGGCATGCCACATAATTATGATTAGCGCAATTGAATCGGCGGCGCGTCCATCGCAAGTATTGCAGTACACACTTGCATATTTTATAGCCTCTTTTCATTATTTGAAACTCCGATTTGACTTTTTGCAATAGATTTCTCATATTACTCCACTGCGCTCCAACACTTCCTTGAACGATAAGGAAAACACACCAAATTTACGACCGCAGTGAGTGTAAGCGCCATTAGATGGCCGAAGTTAAAGTGTCGGGGGTGGTGGTCGTGGCAGCATGAAGCAGATCTTCAAATCAGCTACAGAGCTACAGTAAAAACTGCTAGGTAGAGGTCTTTGAAGCTTGGTGGAGTCTTTGGCATTTTCTAGGTTTTGATTGTTGTTTTGATAATAACAAAAATCGCCTTTCGTAATTGATAATAAAAGCTTTGCTATTTTTAATTTACTTTGTGGCAAACAATTTGAAGCTTTTATTGCTTCGTTTTTTTGGTGGCTAATTTGTTTCCTTTCAAAGAGGCGGTGTTGTTTGGGAGTAGAAAGTTATTAAGGAAATAAGAGCCCTTGATATTGAGGAATGTAGTCTGCATCGTGTTTTCTTATTTTCCACAAAATAGAATAAGAAATATATTCTTGCATTAATCAATTTTTTTCGCACAAATTCCTTTCAATTCGATTTCAAGCTCATGAAAGAAAGGCTTCGCAGCTTCGCCATCAGCTAACAGACAACCATGGGTTGGCTACTCCCACAGCGAGTTGGTTGTTTCGCTGGCATGGCGTGTTCACTTTTTACTTTTGTGCAATTTGTTAAATCTGCGACTAATTTGTTGCTTTTACACACACATGCTCCCTCTCTTACTCATGTACACCCGCTTAGTCGCACCAACACCCAGCAGTAGGCGGCGGCTTACCACCGTCATTCAAGCCGATGCGGAAGAAGCGCTCCAATGCCTGGCTGAAGGTAGCTGGCTTTGTGTGTCGTATTGAATTTGAGAAATTGAAAGCACTGTCAGCCATCGAAGAATGACAATCGTATCCCACTACTAGGTAATTCAATCAGATGCCATCGTGAGCCTTGTCACCCAGTAAACATTTGATTTGAAAAAATTACATATAATACAGAACGGAAAAGTAGCTGAAATTTGAGAAAGTTTTCCAATTTAAAAGTGAAAATGTTGTGAATGATTCAAAAACTATCGGAGGATGCACCGAAGAACAGACCGGAATGGGTTATGAAATCTTAGAGCTATGTTGAACTGTTTTTAGGTAGAAGTCGGCGTCACTTTTATGTATGTCTTTTATTTATTTTCAGTGATCGGATGGCAGTGCAGTTTTTTCAAATTTTTTTGTGACCGTTTGCATATTTTCTTCGATATTAGGATTAGAATGGTATAACGGAATACAAATTTCATGCTGCGCTGAGCTTAAGCTTATCTTTTTGGAAAGACTAGGCAACATGCTGACTGGCCAATGTGATGACCATCAGCTACCTTCCGTATTGCAGCCTTCACATGTGAACTGATAATTACACCGACTCCAAAATAAATCCGAACTAATCTGGAAAAGGTGTCGAAACTGTTCTGAAGAAGTTACCGTATTACTCCAAAAACTCATGAAATTGTTTCGCGCTGTTGCTAAAATGAATCAGATATAATTCTGACAAAGTCTAGACACTGCAATATTCCATTCCCGAAATAAGTAAGTTCATTTTCCAGCTTTTGAAGCATTTGTAGGTAATGTTATATCAAAGAGAAATATTTATTGGGTAAATATTCCCGACAATTTGCGCTTCAGCTTGACTCTGTTGGCGTTATTTGCACAAGTGCCACCGCCGCCACCATAATGCTCCCAGCAATCGGTCGTTAATTCCATTCACACACAGCACCGAATACAGCTCTGCAGACGCAACTGCAACACAGTTCAGATACCACCACCACCGAATTCATTTCGCAGCTTCACTTCGCTTCAGCTTTGGCAATTTGCCTGCGCTGTATGTAGCAGCAGCCAAAGCAGCAGCCGCAGCGGCGTCCAAAAGCAGCTGACAATGATCGGTTAACTCCTTCCTTATTAGGTAGAGCTCTCTGCTATGCCACAAGGCATTAATGCAATAATACAATATTTACCTCATCGTATTCACATATACATACATACATACAAACGAACATACATATGTGTGAAAATCTATGGTGTTGTTGCAAGCGCGTGTGGCATGTTCAGCACATTCGGTATTTGTTTGCTGTGCGCCGCTGGCTTTTGGCAACGCCATCGCGCGCTGTCTTTAATTAAAAGCATTCACCATTATAACAGTTTACCACAAATATCGATTTTTCTTCTGCTGTCTTTGTGGATTTTCTGTATATTTATACAAACATCCGTTGCCTGCCCTCACCTGAGTCTGAGATGGCTTGCATCCATTTGCGGTGCTTAGGTGGGCGTTGCTCTTGATAAATCCATAGTGAAATTGAATTTTCCGATTCGGTTGGCATCAAGCGCCGTCCGCACAGTTGCTGCGGTGGCACCTTCTCATATTTGGAAGTGTTATTATTATTGTTTTTTCAACATATTTCTTATTTTATCTACATGAGCGTATGGTATGTATTTAATTTGGTGCGTCTTGTTGTTTGTTTACGAAATCGTTATAGATCTCGATTACATATGTATGTATGTATGTATGTATGTTCGTATATATTGTACAATCATATTACAGTGGCTCATTCGTTCATAATATGGATCAGGTGGCAAAAACATGACGTGCTCATTGTTGGCGAAAAAGAGAAAAGAGCACCACCAAGCCAACCTCCACTTTTATCAGCTGCTCAATTCGTTTTACTAACTGCTTGCAATACACCCATTTTTAGAGCGGCGGTAATATATTTATAATTGCAAACATTTAGGAAGTGGCAAAATTTACGGAGTGAAAGAAAATTATCTTGAGTTATTAGAAAAAGATTTATTAGAGACAACCCAGTCAACTTAAAATTTCTGATAGATATTTTTCCAAAATTACTTGGAGAGCTTGCACTTGGCACATTCTTCTTCTTCTTTACTGGCGGTAATAGCCGTTGTTATAACATCACGCTACTAATTTCTATTTTTCGCTGTTTGGCGCCAATTGGAGATACCAAGTTTAGTCGGGTCCTTCTCAACCTGGTCTTTCTAACGGAGTGGAATCCTTCTCCTTCCTCTGCTTTAAACCAGAGGGTACTGCATCGAAAACTTTCAAAGCTAGTGTATTCTTATTCATCCGGACCACATGTCTCAGCCAGCGCAGCCGCTGTTCCTTGATTCGCTGAACAATGTCAATGTTCAAAGCTCATCATTCCATCGGCTGCGGTAGTCGCATTCACAACCATAAATCTTACGCAAAACATTCCTTTTGAAAACTCCTAACTCCGAATCATCAGATAACTTTGTCAACGATATGCGACTTGTAGAGACTGTCAACAGTGACGTGGGAGCCGAGTCGCGCATGCGATGATTGTTTGTTTGCCGTTTCGTCTTATCCTCGTTTACTACCAGACCCATATCTTTCTCTTCTTTAGCCAGTGAGGAGGAAGTACCTTCTTTATTATTTTTTCCAGTAATAAATTAAAGAAGCCAGGAATCAAACCTTGTTCGGTATCAAACGGCTCGGAGGGGTCTTCCCGATCCTGATGGAGCTTTTAATGTGGCTTAAGGTCAGTTTACATAGGCGTATAAGTTTTTCTGTCTGTGAGATCGCCTTTTTATGGTTTTGGCAGAGTTCACATAAATTCCAATTGTTAGGCATGCTTCTGTCCAAACCAATTCTGCAAAGTTGCTGATGAATGCACTTTGTCAGCTCTTTACTGCCATATTTGGATTACCCAAATAAGATCTAACTTAGAAGTAGTGATATTGTCCTTTTTGCGGTAAAAAGTTTCTAAAAGCAATACGGATAAGACACGATCTAACGATCGGGAATGCCAACCCCCCGACTGTTTTTCTGACATTAAAAACTTTTAGCTTAGCTTAGTTGAAACTGACCATCTCTTAGTTGAAAAAACATCAAAACGAATACCACAAATCGGAGAAGCAGCTTGGCCCAAAATCGCTCCACGGGTTAATATGCGTAAAAAATATATTGCTACAAATTGTAAACTGTAAATTGTAGCTACAGGAGGAACATATCAAATACATAGCCAGAGATTTGTGGCTTTATCGGTTCAAAAAGGCGTCCGGAAAAACGTGAATGGGAATACCCTGAATGTTTATCAGCGATCCTCATCCAGACGAGAGAATGCGAGAATACGAGGTAGCTCGTTCGTCACAATTTTACTATGAAATGGATCCCAATGACTTATATACTCGTAGGCATAAATATACCTGCGTACAAAAAATCAACTGAACTGAACCAGATCGAACCCTGGTCCACTTCTTGGAAGAAAAAGTGCTCCCACAATAAACCACTTCTCGGGAGGAAAGCTAGTGTCCATGCTGAGCAAAGCGTGAAGCTACCTGAAACCCAATCTATAGAAAATCGAACCAAAAATATGTTTTTTTTTCACTGATCGAGTTCCCTGATTTTTCTTCCTTGAACAGAGACCAATCCGAATTGCTGCGAACCATCGAAATCAGTTCGGGCGTTCTTTAGTTAGAAGTTTATTTATCCTCCTTTTGATTCAGATAAATTAAATCATTTTCACAAAGATTTATTAGCGTCGTAGAAGTATTGTACTTTTGTAATCTTAAAATAAATAATTTAATTGAAAATTAAGAGTACCGTTGATTTTGCGGTTTCCAGTGAACAGTTGCTCGACTTTTTATGTCCACACACTAAATTCAAAGCCTTAACGAACTCTAAAAATAACTTGGAATTGCCCACTGAAGAACTCCAAGTCACCAAAGGACCTAAAATAAAAAACAAATTGCTAAACTTGAAAAATTTCTCAAATTAGAGTCAATACGAAATGAATATTATAAATACATACACGTATATGTACATATATAGGCAGTCGAATTGGCTGATTTGCAAATGACACACAAGTTAATACATCTGGAATTGCCAATAAACAACATCTTGGCATTGGCAAATTGCAAATCACATGCAACACATCTCACATCTCACCATTGTCACGCAGCCATCAATTGTGTATTTTATGGGCATTACATACATATGTACCAATAGTTAATAAACGGATTTACCTTTCGACGAAAACTGTATCGCAAAAAAAGGAAAATTTCCTTTTTCACTGCTGATAAATATTGCTGTGACACCGCCTTTCTTGAATGCATTTGTTGCTACACTTTCGAGCAACTGCGGAAGGGGCCGAGTGTAAATAGGTGCACAAAGGCAGCAGCCAGTGATTTATCTTACTTAGTGCGCATGCGCGACGGTGTGACTTCGTACGAACGAATGTCCAACTGTTTGTTTGTTTGTTCGACCTAATCGCTGTCATGTACATTTCTACATGGGCATGCATATGTGTGTGCATTTTCACAGCTCATATATGTGTACATGAATACAGTTAGCTGATTTCCACTTCTTTTCCCATATTTGAATATATGTATGTATATATTTTGGGCGGTTGCAGCCAGACTACATTCTCTGCATTGCACTAACAAAAGTTGTTACAAATTTTGTTTAACACGGCTCTCCTTTTGTCACTGATTACTCTTGCCGACAACGATTTGACACCATCTGTTGCTAATTAAATGATTTATTGAACTTAATGAATAAAGCGGCACATACATATGTACATATGGATGTGCATATGGATGTGCATATGAAGTGAGTGCGTTGTATTGCATTGGATTGTGTTATTACATCTGAGCTGGTCGAGTTGGATGCAGTTATACAGACCGGCCATAGTGGTCCGACTTCAATTATTTCTGCCCCACGGGTACGGGTGGTATGTATCAGCAATAATAAGTTTTTATACAAAATAACATATTTTTAGTCACTCTGAGTGGAACCTTACCTGATGCCTACAGACTTTATTGTGACTCAGTATAATCTCTGGAATGCTGTGTACGACAATTAGGAGGGACAATATCCACATTCTACGTTTTGTTAGGGCTCCAACTCAACCAAAACTTATGTCAGAACAACACCTACAAAAAATCGCTTATAAAAGAAAACCCCAGTAAATCTGGTTACCACAAATCTCGGCGAAACACAAATTAATATTTCGAAATGCTCAAAACACGAGAATTGTATTCTCATAGTCCACTGCTGTAATCAAAATTAATATGCCCATTTTGCAAGCTTCTCTCATTACGAAGGCGCATGTGCACAGAGTCAGCCATACGTACGTGAATTACCAACTAATTTCATTTTCATTTTCTTTTAAGCCGTTAATGCCGACAGGCCGATGGATGCTATGTGGCTTTAGTTACATTTTAATAAGATTCAATTCGGCCAACGGCTCGGATCGACTCATCTTAGACGGCGACAAAGACAAGACGAGCTCAGACCTCTTCGACTGCAGTCAACTACCATAGAGTTATCACAAATGTAAATCGGCAAAACTCATTCGAAAGATCGTCACGATTTCACAGTCTTTTAATGACAGCGCGCAAAATGCAGAAGCGCAAAAGCTCTATGGACCTCATGATGATTGCATTTGCATAATGCGGCAAGAGCAAACTGGAAGCACCGACATTGCACATACTCCTACATACCGACGGGCCGACGGATGAGGGACGGAAGTGCTTCTCGGCATTTGCAATTGATGGACCGCCGTGAAGCGATCAAATAGAAAAGTTAGCAGAGTTTAGTAATTCAAATTCATGAAATTCAAATACATGTGTGTGTGTGTGTGTGTGTGTGTGTGTGTGTAGTTTATAGCATTTACTTAATAGCGTGGCGCATATTTCGGCGACATACATTAATTGCTTCCGTCAGTTGATATTTTAACAAATTGCAAATGTGAGGCGCCAAAGAGTCGAACGTTTTGCCAGCTAAATGTTTTGCTTTTGGGCCGATGGCGCATTGTTGTTGCATATTATTATTTTTTCTTGCTTTCGTTTTAACGCTGAGAAATGTAAATTGTGTATCAAAAATGGCGAAAATTTCTGGAATTGCAAGCGACATATGTTTGCGCTGCTTTAAGCACGAGTGGCATGCGCGCGGGTGAGCATTTATGTTGCATAAACACGCATTTGCTCGCATGAATCGTTAGATTAATATGTGTGTAAGTGGCAATTACTCAGTGTTAAAGTTCAAGCCCCGAAACGGACAAAAGCCAAGCGTTCGCCACATAGAAGCGGGTGGACAGTAAGCCAGTTGCGATCACGATCATTTAAAAAACGCCGAGATTTACATACACTAAATTACAATGTAAAGCGTAAGGAAGAGCTAAGATCGATTAGTGCCAAATGTGGTAAAATGAGAGATGCACGAAACGCTCAATCTCGGCATCAAAAAATAAGTTGAACTTGAACGAGACGGAGGTGCCTTATGAGTGCAACAGGTTTAAACTCAACATAGTCTTCTACGCTCATTCGGATTGTTCGCCCTTGTTTGGTGAAACAGCTTCTTGCATGAAGACCTTGAGCCAAACCTGTATGCAGAAAGAAACGCTCGGCATTCGACTCGGCAATCTTATCAAAAAGATTGCAAACAGAAGAAGAAACGGAAAAGCCGAGATTTATTGAAACACTCTTAAAAGTACATGTAATGTGAACGAACGTGTTATACCTCATGCAACAAATTGCGCCTCTGGTCTATAAACGCAAAAAATGCGAATTGAAATCGAATGTGGTGGAGCTGGTGTGCGCTGGAAAAAAATTGTATGGCACCTCCGGGTAACTTCCTCATACATGACCACAGAGCGACACATGACCAACCACACCATAACACTCACCTGTACGACATACGCCACCATGATTGTCCGTTACATACCGACATATGTACAATATATTGTTTAATGTGCGTCCGGCAACATGTTGCAATGAAGTCATTTACTCTAGTAAACAGCAGCGGCAGCAGCAGCAGCCAACAATCGTTTTGATGTTGCTTTTGGTGTTTTGCGATGATTATTGTGTTGCCATATTTGGTTATCTATTTTCTGTGATTTTCCTGCAACTGTTGGTGATTTTTCTCTCTCACACTCCCAACGGCAACAGTGCACTTCTTTGGTTGCTGGTTTCTGACGCGGCTATAGCAATTGTCGCGTCTGGCCATTTCATCTGATAAATGCCCGTCATAAGCATCGAAACGAAAATCGTGCGATTGCGCGCCATATTTCGCGCGGCGTTTTGCGAAAATCTCCGTTACGGGCATTTATTATTATGATTTTTCATTATTACTTGCATTGTTGTTATTGCTCATTGTAATGCTGCCCGTTTTGTTGCTGCAGCGACATTAATATTGGCAATTGCTATTACAGTGGTTCACAAGCTTCTTAGTCAATAAGAGGTCGCCATTGAGATTATAATACGAGTATGCAAATTTTTAACGCTTACGAAATCACAATTCATGACTCCGGATGTTGTAAGAAAGCGTGCAATATTTCCTAACAGCGGATTGAGATCAATGCTGAAACGAGATCGGAAACCTTCTTTTCCGCCTCAGTACGCCTCAAGGTAATATTAGAACATAAGTACGCTCCGGCAGGCTTTCAGACCGAGCACTGGACGAGCTGAAAAACTGATTTTCCCAGCAATTTTTGGCATACTAAAATTTATATTTATTTCTGTCTGTGTTTTTAAAGAAGGAGCTCATGACCTAGTGACACATTCATCAATTTAGAGAACAGAATTAAACTCAGGATATATGTGCTAAGGGTTGTTTATCTTGTCAGAAGAGACAGAAGAGTAGAGATACATAAGACTTGGGTATACAAATGTCGACTTATGTTACTATGCAGCCAGAGACAACAATCCATTTATTTCGATCTGCCGAGGAGCGATCATTGGTGCATGGAAGACTTCATGATTAGGTTATAGCCAGATATCAGAAGATTTATAGATACTTTGGGTTATGTGTTAATGTGTGTGACACGTCCTAAATGACGTAACCCTGGTACGTTTATTACGTTTGAAATAATTCATTTAAATGAATTATATATGTATGTATGTTTATTTTTATTTTACTTTATCCAATATATTTGTATGTAACAGTCGCTATGTAACCGCTGAAGCGATTTTCGGCCGACTTCCTCCTCCAATTTGTGGTTTTGCGTCTTTAAGTTTTTCCAACAAATGGAGGGACTTACAATTTATACTCAGTTGCCTCCAATCGACTGATGGATTTTTATTTCATATCAGAAATCCACACCTAGAGATTGACATTCCCTGCCGAGGGGCGACCGCAATTACAAAATTTATCTTAATTTTTTATTTAAATTAAATTAAATTGCTATAATTTGTGAATGTTGGATTGACCAGGGTTGGAACCCTGCCCTACCGAATGACAGTACGCATTGCTAACCTAACTCGACTATCGCTACCGGCAATCCAATACATATACGAGTATATAATACATGTTAAATGTGACCTAAAGTACCGTGCTTACTCAACAATCGGTTCGGAAGGTGACAATGCCGCACTTGCTTTTTGTTTGTCGCTGAGGTGAAGTTAACAACCATTGCGTATTACGCATGCGCTGGTACTCGGGTCCAAAAAAAAGAACATTCAACCCACAGGCAAGTTTATAAATACAATCTTCTCGTAAAGGAAATTGAATGGCACAATCTGTGTGTGCAGAGAGAGCAAGGGCAAAGTGAGTTTTTGAGAAGCTAGAATACGGTTTGTTATTTTAATGAATGAGCAAAAATGACGGTGCAAGTTTTATTTCGGAGAGTGGAATGAGCAATTTTACACATGTCCATGGAAGCGTAAACGTTTCAGCAAATCATTGTCATCGTTCTAAGACTTCTTCAACTAAAATGTAATTATAAATAAGAATTGCCGGATTACCTTTGCTGAAAGGCTCTGTAGCCAAGGGCCATTAACCCCATTAGCAAGAAGAATACATTTTTTCTCAAAAAATGGCGTGTCAGCATTTGCATTGTATAAAACTGTTGCTTCGTAATGGGTGGGTGCGTCGATCAACAACTTCAACTCAAGAGAGATACTTACACACACACACACACACACACACACGCATCACTAACGGTGTGGCAAATTAAATGTCATTACATTTGCTAAGACATTGGGGCCACATTAATCATAAGTAAGAAGTGAGTTAAGGTAATAGAAAAAACAAATGTAACACAATTGAAAAACCGAATTGGAATCAAAATACCGAAATTACCACACTTTACAACAGAGCTCCTAACTTCTGTGTTGTTATTTACTATTATTGTAATTTTTTTATTTTTTCAGATTTATTTTTGCTTTCTTTGGGAAATACAATAACAAATTTGAGGTCAGCAGTTTGTTGTCAACCCCTTTCTACACCACACGCTGCCATTGAACATTTCTTCCAATTACCGACATGAATTAGCGCATTGGAGTTGAAAGAAAATTTGTCGCTCCAACATTTTCCCAAAAAAATTCGTTTTTTCCCCTTATTTGCCTACCGAACAACAACTTGTATACATTGTTAGTGTGCATGTGCACTGTGTGGCTACGCTTTTTTGCCACTGATTGACTTTGGAGTTAACAGTTTTTGGTTCGTTCGTCTAAAAAATTAGTTAGTGCAAGCAAAAGCCAAGGAAAACATGAGGAAACTTATTTGTCCAACAAATGCTGACAGACAATAAGATCAGAACTATGTTTCAGAGACATTGCTGTTGATATTGTTGTTGTTGTTGCTGTTGTTTTCTCTGAAAGTTGGCAGTCGTGCCGCCACGTTTTGACCAGTCAAGAGCCGTACTTGGCGAATAAGAAAATTTATCGCATGCCCTTTGGTGAGTAACGACAACTTTTTGTTCGAACTGTCGAGATGTGGATGAGCTGACCCGGTTGGAAAACATATACACGTGGATTTGGATTTTTGCTATGTGCAGAGTCTTTAAGCTTTTCTGCTGGAGTATCTACCTGGCTGTGGTTAAGCTTCTTGACGCTTCTTCTCGAGCTTAACCTTGAGGCAGGGCTGTGAGCATATCGATACTAGTCGTACAAACTATTTTCAAAGCGCCAACTTCTCAGCACAAAGGTGCGACACTGCATGAGTCATGAGTGGATTAAACTTAAATTTCTCGCATGGCTGCATTTATTGATTACTCCTACATAGGCACACCTTCAGCTTGCCCTATTAAGTCGTGTTATACCTTTATTTGTTGTTGGTATGCTTTGCATGATCATTTGAATTTTCTATCACCACTGAACTTCCGCGACTGCCCACCACTTTTATCGCCCTCCAGCTCAAAGGTAGCTTTGTTGTGTGAAAATCCCATAGCTTACTACAGAAGATTTCCTTGCTACCCTTGTTGTTTACAGATATATGTACAATATGTATAAACGTTCGAGCATGGATCTTGCATTAAAATTAGTAAACATCAAAGAAGTGCCAGGATTTACTTAAACGAGTAGTGTATCAAGGCTTGTGGTAAGTATTATAAAAGAGTGCATTTTCACCATATTTTTTGGTTCCATTACAAAATCCCTTTTCAGCGTATGGTAGGATATCTAGAAACTCCATAAGATTTCTTTTCTCTTTTGACGTGAGCGTACAAATTTTGAAGCTTGAATGGGAAACTCCTAACAACTCAAATGGTCACCGCAATATTGGTAAGATCGTTCAGTAGGAAATGATCATGAGTTTAGTCGCAACTCTAGTTTCTGTATTCATTTGCTGACGGTTTGATTCACCTATTGGTTTTCCCAGATCAATTCAATGCTTTATTCATAGTAAGAAAACCGTACCTCCTGTTATTAGCGCTCCCTTCTGGCGATCATAAGCTGTTAATGCTGTTTACAGTTAGGAGTAAGTATATTACCGGAACGTGACAATATGTTACTTTCAAATTTTAATTTTTCAATTTTTCTTAATGCTGTTAAAACGAGATACTTAGCTGCCGGCTTCGGGTCTTTTTAGCGCATATACTTTTTGTATGCCATACTAGTTATTGCCTTGTTTAAACAAACGAGTGTTTCGCTTTTACTTTCGCATCATTATTGTGTACAACAGTTAGTATGCAACGAGAGTGTAAGCCATTTCTGAAGTGTAATGATCAGTGATCCTTCAGCAACGAGATCAGTGAAAATGATATACGGCTGAAGTGGGTGATATGAATGTGAATGAAAAGCCATAATAAAAAGTTAAAATATGTGAGAAATGAGAGCAAATATCAGAGTGCAGCAACACACGAGAAGTTGTGTGTGCATGTTATCGATCGATCGATCAAAGCGCGCATTGTCGCTAGACACAAATAGATTTATAGCACTTTCGCCACTTACCTGACTCTTTTATTAGTTTCGGTTTGTTTGTTATGCCACGCAAGGTCCATATGTGGCACGTGTGGGTATTTCAGATGGTCAACTAAAGCAAACAATTTGCGAAACGTTGCATGCTGCATGCAAAGTCAGGACATAAAAATAATTGACGTGATTTCATCAATGAAAATATCAACGATGATCAATGCTTGTGGCGATGATCGCACATTATTTGCATTATTAAAGATTTGGATTTATTTTGTTTGCATGTAATTGCTAAAAGAAAACACCGATAATATAGTGCACGACCTTTATGATCTCTAACGAGTGGGGTAATGACACATGTATGCCTGTCTGTCAGCCGAGTCGCGCTCAAACAGCGCTGATGATGATCGACAATTCCATTTGCTATTTGGCAATACCGCACATTGTAATCGCCATCGCCTTGTCGCTGCTGTTGTTGCTTCTGTGTAGCGTAGTTGCATGAATAGTCGCCTCGTCAACATCAGTTTCTGATGCGTGCACTTTTCTCATTACGGCAGTCAATTACGGCGCTGCTCACTAAGTGGAAAAATGCGCAGCGCATGCAATGTTGCCAAACATGCAATTTTATTGCAGATTTATGTGCGTTTCATAATTTTCTTTAGTAATTTTTTAAAGCACCAAGAGAATACTTTTCTCGATTCGTTTCAAATTTTTCGTTCCTAGTCCTTGCGCGTTTTGGTTAGACCCAAAGAATATACTCCTTCACAATTTTCTCTACAAGGCCGATCAAAGCCATAACCTTTCTGCTTTCTAATGGTGAAAAAGGAGAATCTTTACAATGCCAATGATATTTAAACCTTCAGTCATTTTGGCCGTGTTTATTCCTTTGCTTCGAAGGAGGAGATTGCATCGAAAGGACTGCTCATTGTTCTGATGAGCTGCAAGCAATAAAATATCTACCCGCCCGCGATGTCTAAGTTTTCTAAGTTTTTTGGATGTTGCTAATCTTCTGTAGTTGATTTTGTTTCACGAACACTTTTCCTGTCGCAGTCGGATTGATTTGAATTTAGTATCTCGAGGGTGAAATCTACTATGAACCAGAACATTTCTCAGAGTGTATGAATTCCGACTTGGCCTCTTCGGTGGAAATTACACTTTTTCTATAGTACAGAATGTGGTGCTACTCAAACTCGGACTAAAAATTCGAGAGCATGCCCACATCGTGTGTTGTAATCAATGAAAAATACTTCAAATGCTCATCTTGCAACAAAGTGCTTACCGGCATAATAATACTCGTTGCATGCCACACACGCACGCGCATTCAATCTATAACTTTGCTGCCGACGAATGGCTTGTCAGTCGGTGCGATTTTCCGCATTGTTGACCGTCTAATGTGAAAATCATCAGCCAGTACAACAACAGCCAATTTGTAATCATTTCTGTGTATGTGAGCAAGTGTATGTATGTGTGAATGTATGGGTATTATGTTGCATCGTTATAAATCGTGATGAAACAATTTTTGTTGTTGCACTAATTTGCTTGTTGATGCCATTGCTGTTGATCCTGTCTGCGGTCGTCGCTGCTGCGGCTGCGGCTGCCGCTTATGTTGCTGTTGGTCCTCACTTGCTTGTTTCGTTTTAATTTCCATTTCCATTGCCAATTTCATTTTCATTTTCATATGGCATTGCAATACAACAACAACAACAAATACAAATAAATAACAATTGTTGGTAATCATCCTCATTGGGCGTCGATGACGACTTGACTTCAGACTCAAGCCGTTGCTTGAGTCCATTGGTTTACGTCGCGTTTAATCTTGAATGAACTCGCTTTCGACTTTGTCTTCGCATCGGCTACAGTTTTGCATTTCGTCCCAGCTCGCCCGGCAGTTTGCCACTGCCACAGTGGCGATTGATGATGTCTACCGTTATTGGATACGGTTGTCGATTGTCGACTGTCGCTTGGCTGTATGTTTCTTCTTTTCTTCAACTCGTCACGAAGAGCTCACGAATCACCGATTGAATGATGATGTCTAATTGAGCGAAAAATCGTTGCTGATTGATTGTTTTCAACCAGCGGTGATGGCTCTGACGACAGAAGCTTCAACCAGCAGCAGCAGCAGCAGCAGCGCCAACAGGTAACAAAAAGCAATTGACATTGCAAGCAATAGATCATTGTGGTTGTTTTTCTATTCATTCATTATTTGCTCTGCAGTATTTTGCTTCAATGCTGGCAATTCATCTGCGTAGATTCCGTTAAATAAGTAACGATACTAAATAAGACTTCACCTCAGGCCTACGGCCGCACAGAGTTGTAAGCTTTTGTTGAGAATTGCTTTTGAGCTCTGCTACAGAGTGAAGAACCTACCTTTAAGCCTAACGGCATTTTGGAAAATGTGTGTAGAAATTATTCTGGTCGTTCTTCCATATCGTAATATCAGACCCTCTCTTTTCCTGTTCGACTTCTTCAACGCTGAAGAGGAGAAAGGCTCTTGGAAATGGATCAAAACAAGGGTAGCGAACAAAAAATTTGCCTTTCTTAATTTTTTTATTATGAATTCAGATTTAATACGGTACTTATTGTACAGAGTGTACTTATGTAGATATGTATGTAGATAAATTCATAACAAAGTTGCAAACCGTTGACATATTTATTTTTGTTGTATGTTTTGTGCAACAGCACTAGCCATTGAAATGAGGCTTCATATTTAAATCTTTTATTTATTTCCTTTGTTGTTATTGCACACTAATGGCCTGATTGATGTGTGTAATTTGTGGCAAAAGACAGCAGTAGGAGATCAGTAATTGACGAAAAGCTCTGGCAAGCGATCGCGCCACGTGCTAAATACACCCGGTTGACGGCAGCTGCGTCGCCAACTTAGGAGGAAAAGTAATTTCACTTTCCTTTGATCTCGTAAATGCCGAAAGTCTGTCAACATGTTGTAACAAAGATTGCAATTGAAATTAACGGAGGTCCTTACTCCCTCACAAACACAAATACTTGGAGTCTCGTGCAGGCACTTGTCGGGATCGTCAAAATAAAATTCCAATTAATTTTACTCTTTAATTAATTTTCTCATTGTCTGTTGTTGCTGCATACTGTATATAGCCATTGCAGTATTATTTAATCACACACAAACTTACATTCGCACATTGCTGTGTCCATGAAATTGTCTAAGTGTTGTTATGCCATACAGTAAGGTGGAACGAAGCCAATTCAGAAGATATGCATGTTTGGGTATACCTATGTGTGTATGTATGCACGTATGTAAATGAGTTGTGGCTGCAATTGCTGCCGCTGCTGCCTATTTGATGTGGCACAGTCTCCGCCATAAATTATGCGGCGTTCGCAAGTGATCCGCGTTGTTGCTACATTAATTTCCGCTATGCTCATCCGAATTCTGAAAATATGTCATGATTATGAAATATGTGCATAAATTATGCTCGATGGCGGCCACATCGTACCAAGGAGTACCTCAATAGTTCAGGAGTTACGGAGTTAACGGATAAACTTGGCAATTTCATTGCATAACTAGCAATTGAAGGATTATTTTCGGATGGATGTGACATCTTTTGTAAGAAGTACTCCATTATGTTTGCCTTGATTTGCCATGGTTAATTATCTGATTATCAGATGTGGATTGGCGAAACACAATTCCCATACTGTTGGTCAGAGAATGGGGCTTCTGGGCGATTGCTTCCGAACTAAAAGTTTGGCTGTAGAGGATGAATAGTTGTCAAGCACATCAAATATACAACAAAATATATCTGGCCGCCAATACTGCCTTGGAGAACGTTTGCTCCGGCTCACTGCCTTTCGACCACGACCGTTTGCTGCAAATGATTCAGTTATTATTAACGGAATGGAATCGTGTCGCCTTTATCGAAGATAACTGTACAATATATCGTATTTTCTCTTTGCTGGTGTCCACTACTGAGCTAAGTGATCATCACTTCTTCCATTATCTCTTTTAGTACAAAATATAACCTTTCCAACGCCACCTGGCGTACTTCAATTGCACATAACGCGAGACAGAGATTACCAAAGCTATCTATTGAAAAAGTAATGGATTACTTTTTACTTTCCACTGCCAACTACGCTGCCAGGAAAAACTGGCGGAGGTGAATTTTTTGATGCTGGATATAAAACAAAGCTCTATAATGCGCCGTGACTGTGTGGACACATTAGTCGTAGATGGAGAGGCTGTGCGAGTACAAGCATCTACCAAACGAACTATTTCTTTGTTTCTCTGTATTCTTAATTTATCACAATCAGATTATACGGATTCGGCCTTTCGCTCCGGAAATTCCATACAATATTAGAAGGAGCTTGTCATCGCCCAACTTCATTTTTCCCAATCAGTCTCTTTTCACTCACTTTTTCCTTTCAGTCGCTGCACAAACTTGCAAGATTTAATTTCTCAGAACTTCCCTAACGGACCTCGTCATATAATTTTTCACTCCAATTCTGTTGCTATTAGCAAATTCCTTTGTTGATTTACACAAATTATCACTGCATTGCGTTAAAGATTTTCAAAATATTTTCGCACAACAATGTTTCAGTTGGGCAGCGTGTGCTAATAAAAATCTGGAAAGTATATACTGTGGATACATACATACATACATACATATGTAAATAGATGTACAGCCACTCATATGTACAGCCTTAAATAAACAAGAAGCCCTGAAATTCCTTTGCAACAGACCATTTAGCGCTTTGACATTTGCTGCATGCAACCGAATACTCGGCGAGCCGCAACTAATAATGCGCGAGACGTTGTTTGGGCAACAACAATAGGAACTTTATTAAAATATACTTAGGCTGCTGAGCATTAGTGTGAAAAATATGCGACAAAGTTGGAGAATTTCCTTTTAATTCTTTTGGACAGTTTTTTGTTGTTGCATGCCACAAGCCAACTGTGCATTGTCTTGTTCATGCTAATTTAAAGCCAATGTTTTGTGGACTGTTTAAGCTGTTAATGAATTTAGAGGCGAGCATATTTGTGTGCTGGGGTACAAAAAGAGAAACAACAAACAATGTGGTTGTTCAAAATAATTGAGTTCACATAAATATTTCCTTTCTGCTGCTTGTCTACTCGAGTTCGGGAGAAAATATTGCCGCCGGGTTGAAAGCGTAACGGAATTTTCAAAGTCTTGGGCAGTGAATTAGAGGTTTTGGTTTGCTTGCCACATCTCAAATGCATAATTTTCAACATTTGCTGACAGCTTTTTGACGGCAGCGTCAGGCCGCTAATAGTCGGCTAATTGGTGGTTGCACATTTTTTTTTTAATTTGGTTACAATTTTGACACATTTTGACAGATTTAGTCTTTGTGCGGGAGTTTAAGATACTTCTAAGCTTTTTCTAAATATTTTTCCTTAACCTCATTTCTCTACTTGTTCCTCTGTACAACTTTGAACTCGAAATTCACTGTTTGCGTTGTGGCATGTTGAATGTCGCTGCACTGTGGCGGCCAAAGACAATAGCATTGTGTTCCACTTTGTTTGTGTTACTCTTGTTGTTCTTGCAAAGTGCGTGGCCGAGTGAAAATTTTAAAATTATTAAGAGATTTAAGGTGCAGCCGATGTTATACAAAGGTACATGAAGACATTTCTATCTTTCGCCGTCTTGGACAGTTTTACAGTCAAATATCAACTAAATTCATTTGAATTGATTAGTCTCTGGAGAATCATTTTTTTTACAAGTGCGATGTACATAAAAAAATTCAAAATAGTGCGATTATGGAAATTGATTCTGGCCACCTAAGGCGAGTTCATAAAGGCGAGAGCAGGAGAACAAATACAATAATTACCATGTATTTGACTTTTGCTTTTAGCGGAGCGATTGTAATATTCATTGGCTTGCAAAAATACTCAAATTCTCCGCTTCACATAAGCAAAATTTGCAAGATTTTCGCGTTTACAAATAGAAAATCTAGTAGAGTTTATGAAAGCAAAACACCTTGCCAACTGTGAGCCAAATCAAGCTTGACAGCTTTTCTCGAATACTCACATGCTTTGCTCCAGCACCGGTTAGAATCATCAATCAGACTAATTCATAGGTACTCAGATAATTTTCAAGCTCAGAGAGCTGCTAACAGCATTATCAGTCTTCAGATTCACTATTAGCACCTCTATCAACGTTATTCCTAACAACGTTCGGTATATAAGTATTCATCGAATCGTTAAATCTGCTCAAATAAAAGGTCTGTATATTTTTAACCAGGTTTAGCAAGTTCTCAGCTTACATTTCACCTGATTTCAGTAGTTTCGCTACTTGAATCCAATATGCCATTTATGTTTGTTTATGTGCTGCTGCATGCATCAATGCACATCTTTAGCAGCGGATCGAAATACGATTGCCAATTTGACATGGAGCGGCTACAAAAGTTTAAAATCCTCTATGATGTACATCCATTGCATGTGTTCAAAGCCTATTAGCATGCGCAGTGTGTATTAATGAGACATTGAACGCACAACAATTGATCGCTACTCACTCCTCCAGCGCAGTGTGGCTGATTTGCGGTTTTTGTTTAAATGTGTGTAGCAAATTTAAATAAATTACGCCCGAAACCAACAGCTTGTATAAGTCAACGCATACATATGTATGTATGTATATGTGTACATTGCTTTAAGAAGACAAGTAAGCTCTAAAGCTCTGAAGTCACAGATGCAATACAGAGAGAAATATCCGAGATATCCAAGGAAAGGCCCACAGGAAACCCGAGTTTCTCGACGCTATGGCTGAGCTGCCTAAGATGATTACAAGCCATTGAAATAATGAATCAGAGCAGTTAATTTAATATAATTCTCGCCATACTTTACATTTGAATTGAAACATTGGACATTAGATTCGAGATTTAGAGGTTTTTTCTGAGCCCTAAAATCAAAAAAATTCCTTTCCTTTTATTTCTCATTTATTGTAATTGTACAACATTATATTTTACTTTATTCCATTTCAATTCCAGTCTCTATTTTATCTACTGTATTTCATTTTAATTTTTGTTTTTAATTTTTTCTTGCAGGCAGATTTTTCATTTCTCTCTTCGATGCAGAAAATTATATTTGTAAATATTTTATATACTGCGCATACTCTTACATACATATGTATATATATGGAATTATTGACGACCGAAAGGATTTGGTTACAAGTTATATTTATAAAGGAATAAATTTCATACAAAATACAAACTTAAATTTTGACAATTTTTCTTCGTTTGCCTCATTTCTTGCTGGGAATTACTTGCACACACTATTATTACTAACGCGATGGCATGCTGCGCGATCTCCGAGCGCAATCGCAAAATTCTGCACAAGTATTGCCTTGATACAACCGGCGAGGCCCGTCAAATGAACGTTCGGCTGCCGGCCGAGCCACTGCTGAGAAGCCATATTTCGCAGCTGCTATAGCCTGTACTGGCGTTGAGTAACGCATCGGAGAAGGTGAGCTTGAGACACCACGGGGACACTGTATGCTGCTGCCTGAACTGATACCGAGCTGAGATCTTTGCTGCGAGCGTCCGATCGGTGGACAAGATTTACTGCGATGTGGTATGGAGTAAGTACGCGCTGCGGCACGCACCATACTTTTATTATCACCAAATATATCATACGACACGCTCTGAGAGGCTTCGGTGATGCCTAAGCCGGAGAGTGTTAGCCAGTAATCGGTATAATTACGAAAGTATGGAGGACGGCCGGTTCGTGGACAATTCTTTGGTGTTGAAGCCATGACCGGATTGGGGCAAAATTTTGGCGATGCGGGAGTGGCATTAGCTGAGCGTGGACAGACATTGAATGTAACATTCGAGCGTCCACGTGCCGGTCCAATGTCAAAAGTCCGATTATCTTTTTGCGGAATGTCGAACGTGGCATTCGGGCCGGATATATTATAGGTCGCGTTAGGACGACACATGCTGTAGGTAGCATTCGTGGCAAGTGATGGCCGTGCATTGTAGGTAGCATTTTCCGGGTAACTCGGAACATTGTAAGTAGTGTTGGGAGGCTGTTGGCCTAAGTGAAATGTTGCATTTACGGCACGTGCAACATCGTACGTCCTGTTATCCACCGGGCAGACGTTATAAGTGACATTTGGAGCGCGTTGTGTGCTACAATTGGTGTTTCGTGGTGAACGGACACTATATGTGGCATTCTGGGGAGCACAACTAAGCTTTTTGGCCGTGCTGATGTTCCTCGGTTTACATACGTTATAAGTAGCATTTGCTGAGCCCACATTGTAGGTAAAATTCGCCGGCCGAGGCGCCAATGCACAATTTATTGGCGTGGTCGAAAAGGATGACGGGAATTCTGGTGGCGTATATTGTGAATCATCGGGATGCATTTCATAAATTGTCGAGCACATATTAGGCACTGGTGGCGTTGGAAACCCACCAAAACTTGAATTTTGATAACTAGAGGCCACACTGTTCGAAATCGGGCACGAATCAAAAGCACCGCTACCACCACAACCCTCATTTGAAAACTCCTGACTGCTATTAGCATACATGGATTCGATTTCGTTAGCTGCAGTGCATAATATCTGCCAAAGCGTACGCGTACGGTTTTGGACAACACCGCCCCTGCCACCGCCTTTCAGTCGCTCCCTGTGCTGCTCTTCGAGTAGAAATCGTTTCATCTCCGATAGCCTCTCCCATTTGGTATACTGATTCTTGCGGATCTCGTCGTAAAACTCCTCCTGCTGTGCACGCTCTAAGTGACACTCGAGCTCGTCTCTGGTGAGTGTAAAGAGTTCGGATGGGGATAGCTGAAGTTTGCGTGCCCAAAAGAGTATCTCCTTTTTGGTTAACTCAGAGAGATCGTCATCTTGCAGCGGATTCGGTTTTTTACAATCAGAAACGGTCCTTGAGCTCATATTGACGAGGAGCGGCTCCGACAAACGAGCAAAGCGATTTTGTAACTTTTGCTAATTTTTTCGGTTGTTGGTGGCAATTAAAAAATTGCGAATTTTTCTGTTTTGTTTCTCACGAGAAATTTAGTTTAAAAGTCTATTGTCAGAGGGTGACTTAACGGTGTATGCTTTTATAGCAAAATAAAAACAAAATCAAGAAAATAGTTTTTCTTCTTTCGAAGTGTGCTGAAGCGTATAAATCTTTTTAAATAACGGGAAATAAAGTAATAACGGGAAAGGAAATAAAGCCTTAATCCAAGTTTAAGCTTAACTTCAACTTTTCTCATTTAGTTTATTTTTATTTTTACTTTTATTTTCCTTTTTATTTTTTTCTTTATTTTAAATTTTTTTGTTTAATTTTTATATTATCTTGCATTAATTAGATCTCATTTGAGGAGCACATGTTACGTTTTATTTAATTTCATTTCTTTTCATTCATATTATAAATTTAATTTTCATTTTACTTTCGTAAATTTATTTTCTATTTTAGGAAAAGAAGGAGTTTTTGTGTGAAAAAAGTCGTTAAATGTGAAAAAGTGAGTTAAATGCATAGTAGTGCCAGACACCTTTAAGTATATAAAATCGACTAAAGGAAATTCGTTAAAAGTTATGGTCAAATAAGTGAAGAAAACTTAATTAACTTGTTGCCGCAACTGACAGGCGCTGTAGCAGCAAGCAGCAAGCAGCGAGCAGTTGAGGCAGAAAGCGGAGGCAATGACAATGGCTATGGCCACTGGCGGCGCTCTCGAGTGCGGTTGTAAGTACTGTTTGTTTGCATGTACGTGTGCGCATGCTACTTCTGGCGTATTGACGGCAACATTTATTGCTTGAATTTAATTATGATTGCAATTGGCTGGCGGAAAATGGAAGGAGTCATGGACAAGTTCATGGCCACCAATACATTTGGATGGGCAGGCACAGAGTCGGCTGTCTTTTGTTGCTAAATTATTGTTGTTTGTTGTAACGATTGTTGCTGTTAATGCCTCGCTTGCAGTTGCATGTAATTGCTATTGTCGATATCTTCAATTGTGTTGAAGTTGCTGATGATTCTCGCTTTGGTTATTTGGGTATGGTCTGCTGTTAACAACTGGCGTTTGCCGTCTGCCGTCTGCCGTTTGTTGTCTTCTTACTTAACGAATTTGTAAACAACATCGCTTTTTGTTGCTTTAATTACACACTTATAACTCGTACAAGACAAGAAACGTATAAAAAATGATTTTTAGCGAAGTTGCCTGTTGAAATAAATATTGACTGGATGGATAAATGCGATGCGATAAATGTAGCGGTCGATCGCAGAGTTGTCTTGCCTGCATTTAACTTTGTTGGTTCTTTTTGATTTTATTAAACAGTTTATTATTGGCATTGTTGGTTTGACAGCTAAATTAATTGGTGTTTTAATAATATGTGTAGATTTAGCTTCAAGAATACCGTAATGCCTCCGAAGGCACTTGTCGCGGTTAGAGGGTGTTTAAAACGGGAAGAAAATAAATTGGGTTTTTTAACCCGAAGACTAGCGCTGAATGTCTTGAATGGATGCTTTTACTAATATTATTTTATATTTGGTTAAATGTTTTTAAGTAAATTTGATGGTACTTACCGACCGAACTGATGACATAAGTCGCCGGTGGCTTTAAAACGCTTCGCGCATACGCCCCGCGCAGTACTTCCAGTGCACACGGCTCGGCTGTCACCAAAAGCATACCGGGCGCCACATGACCGGCATATTTGAGTGCACGCGTGGCGGCGGTGAGTGGCGCATTCCACCAACATTGCGCATTAGCGGCGAGGAAGTTCTGGAAAGAGAAGGGAAAAAGAAAAGAAGGCGAGGCATTGGTGTTAATTACATGTATTTTATTTCAAGAAATCTCCAATTGTCAGGAATGGGTTGTTATTTTAATTATTCAGACATCTTTCCAAACTTTTCAACCACTTTTAATGGCAATCTTTCATATAGAAGTACTCATATATGCACATAAATAATAATATTTTTGCGTCCGGAATTTCTTAAGAGGCAGTTAAAAAAGAATGTGCTCAATTTCGTTTTTTCAAAAGACTTTCCATTTTTGCCATCCAGTTAGTTTCAGTGAAATCCAAAAAAAATGATATAACTCGCTACTTTAAGGTCATTTGGTGGAATATCAGTTAGCCAAAATACCTAATTTAATTCGCCCTACAACAACATCACTTTGCCAAATCACCAGCGATAACCCTAAATTATGCGATACTAAGCCCAGAGTAGACCCAAAGTTGTGAAAAATTGATGGATGGAAAGTAACACCCGAAGCCTTTTATAGAAAATGGCAGGGCACGCCCACTTAATGGCATAATGGCAGCAGAGGTGCCAACTAAGTGACAATCACACATTGCCAGATGCAAGAGCACAGCCGTGGTAGCAGCTACCTTTTTCAGACGAGTACCTACTAACCATTAGTTGTCGCTGGATGCCTGCTCTTTGCAACCTTACCTTTGTACAATGATTTAATGCGAAATTTCTTTATTCTTTCTTTCTGCCTTTGAATCGAATTGGAACGAATGAATGTTGGCAATGGACGGCTGGAATGCAATGAAAATGGATGCAACCCGCCATTAGTTAGCAGACTGCCTGCCTGGCACCATCAACGGTCGATAATTCGCTAGTGCAACTGATAAATCACCGATGTTGCATGATTGCTGGCAGTGGCAAATGCAAATTTTTATGCTTGTTGCACGTTGTTAATTTTTATTTTGTTTTTCGTGTTTTTTTTTTCAATTTATCACTTGCAACCGCCAGTCGCTGTGTTTAATGGCAATAGTTAGCAGCGCATTATGTGCAAGTAATCGGTAGCTATTTGGTTGTAGCTCCCAAACACGGTGATGTTTAAGTGATGTGTTGTGGCCGCTGCTGCATTTGTGTTTACATTTTTGACGTTGTTATTTTTTTGTTGTTAAATTATAGAAAGGCAATTTAAAATTAATTTCTTACATGAAATAAAAGCTCCTCATACAAGTCCATCGGCCAATTGGAGGTCTACGATGACCTCAAGCCTTCTATCGAATTGGCTCTCAGGAAGATGTATGGAATTGCCTAGAGATAAATATTCTGGCAGGAGATGGTATTTTGAAAAAAAAAAACAAAAAAAAAAAAAAAAAAAAAAAAAAAAAAAAAAAAAAAAAAAAAAAAAACAGAGAGTAAAGAATATGTCTCTCAATTTTTAAGGCAATATCTGAGCGCTGAGTAAGACTGCAATTTGCATTGAAAATTATATGTACCGTTACAACATGCATTATATGCCGTTCTGCACGAATGCAATCAACTTGCTGCCCACATTGAATACGGTGAACATATGTCGTTACTCAATCATCAGTCGTAATGAGGGCGGTGACTAGTAAGCTACTGCAGCGCCAGCCAATGAAGGTAGACGAAGCGTGTGCGCGTGTGGCGAAAGAAGAAAGTTGAAGGGGCGCTTCATGTGCTCTCTAAAAGCTTGTTGGTAGCGAGATTGATGACTTTGGTTGACAAGCCTTTGGACGCACAAAGGAAATTGGAGTGCCAATGGTACATGTGACTCAATGTAAATAGGGCGATCCATCGTTGCTTTGCGCTAAGTGTTGTTAGTAGACCAATGTCATGCATGGACTTCAGCTATGACAATTTATTAGCAATTGCATGTAGAAATTAAAGAAAAATCATAGAAAAAACAGGGACTTCATACAAATTTTTATGAATTTATTGCTTTACTTTCTACACGGAGAACTTTGAGAAGAGATCTTCATCTCATTTTCGCTGTGGCGCCAAGTGTTTATCTGCGGACTATATTATTGTCTAGGTTCTTAACCTCTATTTGTACATACATATGTAGGTAGGCCGGCATTTCATGACGTTTTCTTGATATAGTCTTTGTTGTTGGCTCGTTTTTAGCTACTATCAATTTGCTAGACAGTCAAAGTGTTGTTCCGCCCGGTCATTAAATACATTTTACACACTCGTTCGCATACTAATGCATGTATTTGTGTTAGTCTAGTGTGTTTTACATCATTTGGACATTTTTCCAACAACAACAATATGTAAAACATTCGCAAATAAATGAGCTGTCGTGTTTGCTATTGTGCTCATTTATTGTGTCTTCAGTTATTGACTACATGATAAACATATGAACATATAGACATGGAAGCATAAAACCGTAAGTCGAATACCCCGCAGGATTTCTTTCAATTAAAAACGTTTTCTTTGTATTAAATTGTATCCAGATAACTGAGCTCTATCTACTCAATATTTCTTGATCTCAGGAAAGCATTTCAAGAGTATCCGATCGCTCATAAGTAATACTGTTTGTGAAAGAAACGCAAGACTTCTTCTATACTTTCGAGAAATAGCTTAAGAAAAACAAAATATAATTTTTTGGGGGAACTGCAACAATAATAATTGCCGATGAGTGAGGCACTGGGCAATATAATTGTTAATTGAAAAAAAAAAAATTTCTCATACGTCTGCTCCCTACAGGGTATTCATTATTGCGGGGCATTTCGGTTGCCCGATGTGCGGCATGGCCATCAAAACGATGGGTATGGTATTCTCTATCTATCTTGTTCTTGCTCTTTGAGAGCAAAAAAGTCAGGGTAAAGAATTCTAACCGTTTTTTCTCAAAGGCGGATTTCCTGCTGTGATTGTTTGCTATTTTCTACGCTTCGTTCTTGTGGCGCTTGTTACGCCAGCGGGTGTTACCACATTCGAAATGCAGTGCAAAGTGTGTGTGCGTGTCTGTGTGCGTGTCTGTGTGCGCGCATGCAGTTATGAATGCGGAAAAACTTAATAGTAAAGAAGGGGAAAAAGTTAAAAAGAACTGATTGATTTATTTATTATTGCACAGTGTGACGGTCGGAATGCGTTAGAATGGGCAGTTTTGCTGGCAGCGAATGCCGTGAAGGTCATGAACACGAACTGAGAGTTTGTTGGCTTTAGCTGAATGATGGAATGCGCCCAATAAAGCTCGTTCTTAAAAAGATCTCAAACGAGTTCTGAAGATATTAAACCCAAGTTGCTTAAATCAAAATTTTCATAACCTAAAATTGGCTTAGCTCCACTTAAAAGCTCTCGATTGTGTCATTTACATTTACATAATAAATCAATTCATTAGACAACTTCACGTTGTTTTCGACATTGTTCTTCCAGCACTTCATTGGAGCCTAAAGCCCAGTCATATTTTCGCCTGCCTGCGCCGTTGCCTGTAATCAATCAGTCAATTAAGCGCAAATGAAATAATGACATTTCCCTTTACTAATAAGATTAATGTGCCACTTCTGTATGCGCTTATGTACATATGTATGTATGTATGTATGTGCGAGGGATAATAATTCATTCGCAGCCATGCCATAGACTTGCTGCTTGTGACAGAATTATCTTTTAATTTCCGGCAGCGACATGGCATATTTATCATAATTAAGAATTGAATACGTTGCAGCAATTGTTGCAACAGGCAGAATGACTTAATGCATGCGAAAAAAGTCATTGATTGCTTAAAAACGATTGAAAAAGTTAGAAGAACGGACCCAAGTATCTAAACCGATCAGGAGGATATATGACTTCCTTGAAGACTCCACAGCTCTTTTTTGGTTTTTTGATAGAATTATAAGGAAATCGAAGGTGGCTTACTATTTTTTCATTTATATTATTTATTTAGCCTCTCAAACCTTAGCAACTTGTGGTGGGCTTTGTCTCAATTTAGTTGAGAATTTTCGCGGAATTTCTATTAAAGTTTTTGCCATGACCTGTGTACATCGAAATTTTGCGAACTGAAATGCATGGCCATCCATCCATCCCTGTCGATTTGGGCCAGAAAGCTCGCAAACACTCACACACACACGCTTTGAAGAATGACCTCATGCAAACACCCATACATGTACATACGTGTTCACATACAAACTGCACAGTTCAAGGGCTTTGTGCTACACCTACTTGTAATTCACCTAAGTGAACTGCTGAGCTGAGCAATCCATAATTTGACGTTGCATGCAACACGACTGAATATATCGGAGACCGTAATGAGAAGTGTCGAGTCTTCGACACATATTCCTCGCAAATTCAGCATTTGTGAGTAGGGGTGTGTACCCGCTGACCACTACCACCGGCTATTATGTTATACATACATATGTACTTCGCTCGCACAAACTTTTTATCATTTGTGGGTCAACACGTCATGGCTTTTCTATCTGTCAGCGGGCGATTAAGACCCAAAGTCAAGGAAAATGGGCGAAAGTTCACAAGTTTTAAAAGGACCTTCATGTTTGATTGGTTTTCGGTGTCCAAAGGCGAACTATGGGATAAGTCACATGAGGCATTTACTTTACAGATGTGAAATACGTTTATATACATACTAATATAATATATTAGAGCCTTGGTATTTCCAACATAAACGAATTTAATAAGGTGCTTTCAGCAGACAACAATTTTTTTTTCATTTAATTTACTCGTATGTACATATATTATTAATTTTGTTTGGTTTTGAATCTATATATTTTTTCTACTGTATATTTAACATTGAAAATTCGGTAAAAGAATGAACAACTCCTGATTCAGTTCAACTGCTAACGATAGGAACATTCATGAAGATTTTAGCGAGCCTCATGCACCCCTCTCCTATCCTTCCTACAAAATTCAGTGTAGGCAAAGGAGGGAATAGCTGCTCGCCTCCTGGTTAAAGAAAAAATGGGGTAACCTTTACCTGATTTCCCACCCATTACAAAGCCCTAAAATGATGAAATTCATCCACCGACCGTTAATCGCGCCAACCCCTCGTAACGCAATCACAATCACAAT